CAGCATGCATGATTCGTATAGCTGACATTAACGATGTAGGAATGTATCACGTCAGGGAGCATAAGACTGGTTCTTTCGTTAGGCTAGATGGCAAGTCGTGCACGAATTGCAGAGGATCTTTGTACAGTATATTCTCGTGCAGCGTGTGCCTACTCTGCACACATTAAAAAAAGAACTATTGTGAACAGTACTGAAAAAATATGTGGGAAGACTATAATGTAGATGATTTGCTGTATGTTCTCGGTAATCTGCAAAAAAGAGATACAGATGTGAATATTGCCGGTGCAATTCCTACGCGATTGAGAATTAGATATACGTGATGAGAAACATGGAATAGTTATTAAAGAGCCCGTTTCTGACTGGTCTTTACTCGCGCAAGAGAAAGTGTACCCACGGTTACGAGACAAATGTTACGAGGACGATGAGTATGAAAAGAGACATTGATGGAACTGTCAATGTATTGTAATAAAGGACGATTATTATTGGGCGAAGAAAATCGCAGATAAGAGCTAAGGTTGGTGTGCATTAAGATTCCCGCGGATAATGAAAAGTGTGTCGAACTGTTGATTATTGACAATATGGATGGAGTTTCGTGATCGCGATCTTGCACTAAAACTGTTTTTCAATACATGCGACGAACAATGCTTTGAGTGCGAACAGTGCACTTTCGCAAACAAACATAATGAAAAGATGTTAGAATGTTACGATATTCTAGATATGTCACGGTGTTGCAACGTGTGTGAATGAGTCACGTGCAAGTGCTCCGTAGAAGAGTGCGACGTGATATAAAAACTTTGAAAAGACATAGAAAATCATGAGTGGAATGCGACTTGTTGGAGTAGTGCGGCCAGATCACTATTCTGGTGGAATATTTCGCGTAGCTGCAACTATGCGATGACTGCATCGAGCAGCTCGAAGAACTTTGTCGTGCCAAGCGTCCGCACCTCGCCGTTAGACACAGACAATCCATGGTGACGAGGATTGCGCGACTCGCGAATACAAAGTTGCAATTGGAGCGACGTTTCGTGCATATTGGTGATGAATACGAGAGTAGCAACGAACGATCTCTTGTCTGGCGAGAGATCGACGCTGCGTTCGAGAGTCGTATTATTGACAAGTGCGGTGATAAATTCTAATCACATCGAGCCGCGGCGGTTTTTAGAAGACGTTGGAAATGTAGCTCTAGAGTGCGAGTGCGAGACGCTGTAGAAAGACACGGTAGTGTAAAAGTGAACACCACGTTCAATGGCGAGTTCGCGACGAAGGATAAACGTGCTAATAAAAGCATAGATATAAAGAACAGCGAGATATATCGATACACTGATTTGCGCGAGTAGTACGAGCAGCATGTCAGCTATCCTAGCATCGCTCAAAGAGTTCCAGGAACGCGACAGCGGGTGGGCATTATCACGTATATTGAATTTGACTATCAATGTGAACAAATTAAATCCCCTGCGCGCGATCACATCGAAGTACCGCGAGAAATTATATTTAAGAAAGCGGTAATCAGTGTTCGTACGACGGACAATGCGTGCTTCGCGTGGTCGATGGTCGCCGCTCTGTATCCAGTTGAAAAGTATACGGAGCGGGAATCGTCCGCAGTATATGACAGTATTGAATCTCACAAACATTTTCCAATGCCTTTAAAAGACATTTCTAAATTCGAACGGTTGAACGCGATCAACGTATACGGCATCGAAAATAAATAACTTCCTCTGCGGCTCATCGACGATAAGAAGGAAAAGCACGTCAATTTCCTGTATCTACAAGATTCACACAACGACAACCTTGGCCACTTTGCGTGGATCAAGAATCTGTCGCGTCTCGTGAGATCGCAACTTACTAGAAAAAAGAACAAGAAGTTTTTCTGTGACCGGTAAGTATAATAAGAAAAGTTGATAAAAAACAATATTTAAAAAAACAATAAAAAGAAATAGCGACAAAAAAATTTTTTTATTTACAGGTGTTTCCATTACTTCAGTTCGTGCGAAAAATTGCAATTGCACGAAGTGGATTGTCAGAAGATCGACTGCGCCATCCGACTGCCGAGCGTGGACGACAAGTGGCTCGAATTTGGGAACCACTGCAATAAGGAGTGCGTTTTTCATCGTCTATACCGACCTGGAGTGCGTCCTACGTAAGAAAGAATCTGACAAGGAAGATGCGTCGTCGCGTATCAGCAGCATGAAGCGTTTAGCATAGGCTATTACGTACGATGCGCTTACGACGACACATTATCATCGTATTATTTCCATCACAATGAAGGCTGTATAACGAGCTTCGCGCAACAACTCAATGATTTGGCACATCGCGTGAAAAATATCATATTCACCAACGTGCCAATGACTTTATCTAAATGACGTGCCAAAAACTTTATCTAAACAGCAATGGAAGGCATACTGTAGCGCGACATGTCACATCCGTGACAAACTGTTGGCGCCAGACGATGCGCGAGTCCGCGATCATTGTCATCTCATTGGTACCGCGATCCAGCGCATTCAAATTGTAACTTAAATTATAAAAATTCGTTCTATATTCTGATCGTATTTCACAGTTTATCGGGCTAATGCCCATTTTATAATTAAGGAAATTGCTACTGCATACATGTAGATGTACTACTGATAACGAAGGATATATTTCATTCACTTAACATGTCGATAGCCAAAGACAAAAATGAAAAGAATTTTCAGAAAAATGGTGTAAAATTAAGATTTATTGATTCTTTCAAATTTCGAAATGCAAGCCTCGATAAATTAGCGTCGTGTCTCGACCAAGATAAATTAAAAATTGTACGTTCCGAATTTTGCAAGCTCAGCGTGGAGGATTTCGATCTTCTTATACGAAAAGGTGTCATTTCGTACATTGACTGCGTCGAAAAATTGCAGGACACGCGCTTACCACCACGCGAATTATTTTTCAGTTCGTTGATAAACGAATCGTATTCGAGAGCGATTATGCTCACGCCGTGAACGTATGACAGCGATTCTCCATCCGAACGCTCGGCGAGTACAGTAATTTTTACTTGAAAACTGATGTCTTGTTATTGACTAACATTTTCGAAAATTTCCGCAATAGTTGCGTCGCGAGTTACTGTCTCGATCCCGCGCATTATACATTACCAGATTTTATGTGAGACGCCATTCTGAAACATGTGCATGTAAGATTCGAGTTGCTCACCGACATTGATATGGTCATGTTCATCGAGCGCGATATATGTTCTCGCTCTCTCGGTCTCAGTCAATGTTCCAGCAGAGGTTAATGCACAGGTTAATAACAAGCACATGCATTTGTTCGGTCCATCGAAACCATCATCTTGATGTATTACGATGTGAATAATTTGTACGGATAGACGATGTGTCAACCTTTGCTATACGTCGAATTTCAATGGTTCGAAGACGCTGTGAACTTTGACGTGAGCGCGATCGCTCCGGATTCATTCACCGGTTATATTCTTGAAGATCTCGAATATCCGCAGCATCTACACGACCGACATACTGACCTACCTTTTTGCCCAATGCGCGATAAACCGCCCGCCAAGCGCGAAGATAAACTTTTAGCGACGTTGTATGATAAGCAGCGTTACATCATTCACTTCGCAAGCTGCAGCAATGTACTCGTCACGGTCTTCGCGTAACAAAGATCCACCGGGTGCTATAATTTGCTCAATCTCCATGGCTCCACGATTACATTGAATTCAATACACAATTTAGAACGCGCGCAAAAAACGATTTCGAAAAAAATTTGTATAAATGAACAACGCGGTATTCGGTAAGACCAGAGAATCCTCTCCGTGCGCAATCACGTTGAAAATTAATGACAAAATGGAACGGCGCGGAAGCAATGATCGCGAAACCGAATTTTCACAGCCACAGTGTCTTTGCGAAAATTTGATCGCCGTCGAAATGCGCAAACTCGAGGTAAAGTTCGACAAGCCGATTTATGTGGGTATATGTATATTCGACATATCGAAAGTCTGCTTGTACGAATTTCACTACGAATACATGTCACCGATGTATCGCGACAAATGCAAGATCGTGTATACCGACACGGACAGTCTCATTTACCATATAAAATGCGACGATGTTTACAAGAATATGAAACGCGATATTGCTAGATTCGACACGAGCGATTATCCGGCAGACAACGTGTATGGTATGCCTCTCGCGAACAAAAAAGTATCCGGCCTGATGAAGGACGAAAATAATACGATAATGACCGAATTGGTTGGACTGAGAGTGAAGATATATGCGATGAGAGTGGACGGCAAGAAGGACACTAAAAAGGCGAAAGATGTAAAGAATAATATTGCAGTGCGAACGATAACGTTCAATGATTATACGCGATGTTTGAACAAAGAGATCGAAATGATTCGCCGTCAATCGTGTATACGATTTAAATTATACGAGGTATACACGATATCCGAATCGAAAATCGCTCTGAGTCCATACGATGACAAACGATACGTACCGGACTCGACGGAGACATTACCGTGGGGGCATTGGTGGATACCTTTGTAATATATATTACTATTATGTATTACTTATTGTAATTTACACTTTTTTACATTTATACAAGTATTATTAGTATGTTTTTTATGTAACAGCATTTATTATGTATTACTTTATTATTGTACTTTCATATAATACATATTGTATGTTTTTAACATTTATATAAGTATTATATACTACTATTTCAATTTACATTTTATGTATCCCATATTTTTTTTTATGCATATTAATATTACGTATTACTATTATTTTAATTTACACTTTACGTATGTTCTTTACATTTATATAAGTATTACTATTTTGCATTACTATCTATGTATTCTGCTCCATACATAAGGTTACAAATAATTAGGTATTTTGTATATTCTAAAACGAAGATGGAAAGGATAATAAAAAAAAATACGTTTATATATTTATATTGATATATTTTTTATATGTAGAAATAAAAATACATGAATCAAAATTTTATCAAATGACATTGTTTTTATATATCTATGAATTGTGCGATCCATCGAATCCCAGCCCCTTATCTCTTTTCTGGCGCAGTACTTTCTCCATGAGATACACGTCCGGATGAGTAGCGCGATGCAACTCATCCTCGTAAAACGCTCCAACGGATTTTCCGCGGTAGTTCTCGAATAGATAGGTTACGGAATTGGTACGCTGTATTTTAACGATTGTAAACACCTCGGTGATCCAATTTGGTGTGTAACCCTTCTCAAAAATCGTCTTGTACTTGCTTACGCGTACCGAATCGCCCACTTTAAATTTTGACAGATCAGCAATCTTTATTGTGCTGTACACCGTGTTCAAGTGTCTTTCGATGATCGCGGAAGTTACGTCGGCAGATCGCATGCCGATAGTCTGATGCTTGCGCGCATTGTAATCTGACACGAGACGCGGCAGCTCGTCAATCCACTTGTAATTGCCGTTGAACGTAAACATCTTCCACTGTCGTTTTTGAGCGTGCGATTGAACCACTCGACTACTGACGCTTTCAACGTCGAATACGTGGAATAGTGATTAACGTCGTGTTTTTTCAAGATTTTCTGCACAGCGTTGTAAAATTCTTTCCCCAACCGTTTTAAATTTTTTGGACATCTTCCACTCGCTCGAATTATCTCAGCGATAGCATTAGCCGTCTCGCTTCCACCCTTGCTCTTGAGCGGTACGGCGTACTTGCTCAACACATCGATGACGATGAGTATACAATGGTGACATGAATATGGACGCACCTCGATGATATTAGCCTGTCACAGATTGTCGTATTCTCGAACTATAACGCGCCTTCTCGCCGGAGCATACAATTCCTCGATGAGTCGACATCTCTCGGAGCTAATTTTTCTCTTTTCGCTGAATCTCTTTTTCATGATTCAACGCGTAATACATAGAGCAAAAGTATTTTTTTTTCTCACTGACACCACTCGACTGACTCGTTTCGTCTATAAGACCGGCTTCGCGAAGTTCCTCGATAATCGACAGTATCTCGTTGTGAGCGTTGTTACTCAATGAAGCGTCGAGCAATCGTAGACGATCCATCAGCTCGTTGGGATCGTCCTAATGCATATAATCAATCACATTGTCGTTCAATATTATTGCGTGAGGTAATCCTTTTCTAGATTTCTTCTTCTGTTTCTTGGGTGTGATGGACATCAACGGCGCGATTATGTATTTGTACTTGTATCCCCTATTGTTCAATAATCCTGCGATTAATGCTCGTGTTTGTGCGCATTCGTCGCAGCATGCTCTTGTACTAGTTCATATCGTCTTCTGTGTAGAGGAGATCGTCAGGAATTCTCTTAAAAATTAACTCGTAAAGACCAGATGTACCGACGTATCGTACACCGTCGATAATTATGTTGTCCGCATTATCCACGTCGAAACGTTTATTGCCAAACATCAATCCATCCTTGTGTAGGTATATGCCATATACATAATCTACTCGTTCTTCTGTTTATCGCGTTCCCCTCAGGACAGACTCGACGTACTTTTGACCCAGCGGGCCCAAGCCGGCTTGCAACTCTCGACCTTCCGACGTTTGCAACCGATTTTGAACCTTCGTCGCTAGCGAATTTTCATTTCGAAAACGTTCTCCAATGATTCTATGATCGTCGTACGCGGAGTGGAGGTTATCAGCTGTACACGATCGTGTGATTGATCATTTACGTGGGGTCATGGAACGCTCGAACGTCTCGCTAGCTCTCCCTCCTCCTCCTCCTCCTACTCCTCTTTTCTCTCACGCTTAGAGGCAGACGCTACGACATTGTCGCGCGACTGTCTCTTTATCGCGCGCACGGGGCTGTCAACAATCTGCTGCAGAGCAGCATTTGATAATAGGCTTAAAATGTCTGTCCAATGCCATATCCTCCTCTATTCTACCGATTTTTAGAGCGCGATGTTTCTTGCGGATCGATTCGCTCGTCTTCTTGATTTCCCTCGCAATTTTTTCACGCTCGCGCACATCAACCATATTCGTCTCTGGCGAAGTATCGACAACAACTAGTCACGTTACAATATCGCGAACTCATTAAATTCCTTTCTGTATCTCCCGTCTTTAAGCGCACTGTCCTTGTCTATTACTAAAAATCCATATTTTTGTTGTCAACAGTCGCGACACAACAAACAAAATTCATCGTACGACATGTCGGTTTTCACGATCGTTGTAAACGTGTTTCAAGTTGGTATAATCATATTTGAACAGAATCAGCAGGTTTGCGTTGTCGCGTATCAGATGTTAGGTATCCTCGCGTACGTCTGACAGAGATAGAAGCAATCAACGTTCGCGTGGCGGCCCATCGAAAAGTATTCTCTCACCGCATCTTGCTTGTCGCATGCTACATCATCAAAGATAAAAATAGAATTTGAGCGCGCCTCGTTCGGTGGAACGACATCGCTGTTGTTGGAGAATATAAAGTAGCTGATTTCATTGATAGACGTAAATAAATTTTCGAGATATTTTGGCTGTTGCAACGATTTCGAGTAGACGTATACATTCTCGAAACGTACGCCGTTTGGACTCTCGAGCAAGCTTATGAGAATGTTGGTTTTACCACAATTCGACGGGCCGCATATGATCGCGCGTATAGTACTCGGCGTGCAGTATAGCATTTCGTTGTGCTTGCGCTTCTCCGCGCTGCCTCCCATCATTCGCGATTTCGCGTCATAGTTTGTGACATGTATTGTTAGCGATTGCAGCACGAATTTCATGCTCACACTAAAGACTGTGCGCTCTCGAATGATTATTTAAAGGTGCGCGAATCCGCGAATCGCGCAATAGCAAATGTCTCGCGCTGTGTCATCCTTCCGATATTCGAGACTTGAGCGTCAAGCAACTGCAATATATACCGAAGATCGTACTCTTATGCGTGAACGACGACTACATTGAACATGTCTGGAACAAACTTCCGGAATATGTGAAGGCAGATTCGAAGGTTCGAATCGTCGCTGCGACGAGCACTACAATCAGTCGTGGCAGCAGACGCACATCGACGACCCCGCACCGAAGATAAAGGACTGTAGCGAATGTCGGCGTTGCGCGGCGGTCTGCTGAATCGAGCAATAAACGCGCTTCCTTTCGAATTACATATTCCGAGCTACCAGTTTTGCGGCCCTCGGCTTACGAAGCCGAGATGAGCCAGAGATGACGAGGGCATAAATCCGCTGGACGCGGCGTGCCGAGAACGACATTGCGTATTCTCGGAGCAACGATCTCACCGATAGACACGCGGCGGACAAAGTATTCGCCGATAAAGTGCTAGGACGCGTCACTGCGAGAGATTCGGCTCTGAGCGAGAGAGCTGCTGCAACTGCCGTTTGGGCAGCGAAAGCCAAGACCAACACATGGGCATGAAACCACAAAGAAGAAGACGACGAGGAAAAAAACAACGAAAAAGCGGATTCTTCCAACAGCAAAACGAGGCGATGCGTTACCGTTTTTGCCAATATTGGGCACATTCGAATCCTTGATCGGCGGAGCGGTCAGCGTGGCGAAAGCGGTAAATGACAGCAAAGCCGCGCGATGTCAGCTTGAAGAGCTGCAACGTCAAGATCGCGCGATGGAGCAGGATCACGGACTGTATCTCGCTCCGTACAAATACGGACGCGGACTGTATCTCGGCTCATACAAACATAAACAGGACGTAGCTGCAAAGAAAAAAAAAACGCCGAAAGATAATAAAAATGCCGTCTTGAGCAACTACCAATGTACAATTGAACGAGCTTGCGAGACGTACCAGGTATGTAAATATGAAACCGGAATTTTTTTATAGAAAATACACGTTTATTGCATGAAAATGATAAAAAATATTTTATTCGAAGTATTGTCCATCGGTAGCTATACATTTTTTCCACCTGTTTGACAATTTGTGGATGCCACGCCAAAAAAATTGTTGCTCTTTTGAGCCAAACCAGTCATCTAGCCATTTTCGTACATCTTCGTAAGAAGTGAAGCGCTGCTGAGCAAGTGCGTGTCCCATCGATGCAAATAAGTGATAATCGGATGGAGCCAAGTATGGTGAGTAAGCCGCATGCGAAAGTATTTCCCTCAATCATTTCCTTGACCAATTTTGCTGTGATGATGCATTATCATGAAGCAAAATCATTTTGTGTTGCCTTTTTTGATATTCCGGTCATTTTTCACATAAAGCTTGATTCAAATTAATCATTTGTTGTCGGTAGCGTTCAGTATTAACGGTTTCGCCAGGTTTTAGCAGCTCATAATAGATCACATCTTTCTGATTCCAAACTCAGAGCATTGTCTTCTGGCCATAGTGATTTGGCCTTGCAGTCGATGTCGATCGGTTCGCCTGGAGTTACCCATGATCTTTTACGCTTAGGATTCTCAAAATATATCCACTTTTCACCAGTCACAATTCGATGGAGAAATGACTTTCTTTTGTACCTGGCGAGCAGCATTTCGCAATGATTTTTCGGTTTTCCTGCTGTCTTTCATTCAGTTCATGTGGAATCTATTTTCTTATCTTCTGGATCTTTCCCATGGATTTCAAATGTATGGAGACGGCTTCTCGTGTCACATTCAATTGATCCGCGAGTTGTTGTTGAGTTTGAGTGTCATCCTCATCCAACAATGCTTGCAATTCGCTGTCTTCAAACTTTTTCGGTGGTTTTTCGTTTCTCACGTCAAAATCGCCACTTTTGAATTTTTTAAATCACTCAAAGCACTGTGATTTACCAAGAGCATGCTCATCGTAAGCTTCGACAAGCATTCGATGCGATTCTGCAGCAGTTTTCTTCAAATGGTAACAGAAAATCATGCTGCAAATCGTAGTTTGCAGACACAAAATTCGATATGTTCAACGCTATTACAAACTATACTGTTGTATGAAACTGTTGTGAGTTGAAAATCTTTGTCAGATGTCTGAACAAGGAAATGGTGTCAATGGCGCCATCTGACCGTAACTACATTGACACCTGTGGTCATCTATTGATAAATTCCGGTTTCATATTTACGTACCTGGTATGCTCGTACCATACTTTAGAGGTGTTTTCATGTGTAACATGTTACCGAAACGAAAGCAGTATCGTGAATCTGGACGATGCGACGGAGCCTGGTACTCACTGGATAGCGAAAAGGAACAAACGCGTCATGTAACTGTCGTTTGACAGTTTCGATAATCTTCGACCGCTCTAGGAACTGATGCGATATTTTGAGAACGGTGCTATGACGATAGAGTACAATCGCATGTCCTATCAGAAATACGATCAGCTTCTGTGGACAGATATGTCTGCGGTTTCTACAAACGGTAGACGCGCGTGAATTTAAAAAGTTCGACGAGATCTTTGTGCTGTGAAATCTTAGTATTCGTCGAACGCTTTTTCCGTCATGTCATTGACGCTTACGTTGAGCGGAAAGAGCACCGTTCTCGCAGCGAATTACTTTTCCACCATAGATTTGAGTGACGAAGATTACGAGCTCGGTCTGGCGATTTTTGAGACTTATCACACAAAACTGAACGTGAACGAACAACAAATTTTATTTCATCAAAGATGACGTGGAAATTACAATTTCCCAAAGATTCATATGAAGTGCGAGACATAAATGAATTTTTGAAACGCGCGATTTTACGGAAATGTTCACACCACGACGCGCTTGAAACCATTGAGTGCATGGTGACAACAATAATGACACTGATGATGATAATGATGGAGAATACCTGATAACGTTCCGCGTAAACTACAACACGATGAGATGCGAGATTAGATGTGCTTACAGAATAAACTTTGGCAAGCCCAACAGCATTGGATTGCTGCTGGGATTCTCGTCGAAGCGTATAATGCGGCCGCGAAGGTGACACGAATCGGACGTGTCGATCAACATAATGAATGTAAACGTTATCCGCATAGAGTGTAACCGCGGGCGCGTACAGTAGCAAAAGCGCGCATACGATACACGAATTTTCGCCGAGCGTGCCTCCAGGATATATGATATCGGAGAGACCGGCACAGATCATTTACCTACCGATCATCGCACGGAGCATTATGGATCTAATGATATTACGCATCACCAGAATGGATTGCTCGATTTTCGAGGAGAAGAGATCACCGTTAGATTGTATTTACGACGGCGACAGTGAGCATGAGATGCTCGTGCTGAACGGAACGGAGCGTACGCAGAGAGATAACGCATTTTTTACAAGACCAGTGACGTCGATAACATTCACTCATACAGCTGCATCAGAAGAAGAAGCTTAGTGTGTCAAACGTTACATTTTTAAAGTCTTTGGGATTCGCGGTGCGCAACATTTTAGATGACTGATGATGACTGACTTAAAGACGAGTCGATCTTCGACGATCGCATCGTCAAGATTGAGTCTCACACGCACCCGTTCATCAACACAACGTTCGGGTACATACAAATAAGAATATCCATACAGCAACAGGATCTGTATACACTGTCGTACGAAAGCTTTCTGTACATCGAGGGAAAATTGACGAAGAAAAAAGTGGTCCAGAATGCTCACGTGACATTGGGAAATAATTGCGTCGCATTCATATTCGATGAGATTCGATATGAAAGAGATTCGAATGTGAAAATTGATCGTAACAGAAACGTGGGCATAACTAGCACACTCAAAAATTATGTAACAGTATCATCCGATAGAAGCGTGATTCTGCAAAATGCTGGCTGGAATGCGGCCGGATATTTTAATTTCTGTGTACCGCTCTACGTACTGCTGGGATTTTGCGAAGATTACAAACGCGTGATGATCAACGCTTGTCACGAGTTGATTTTAATACGAGCGCGCAACGATAACAATTGTCTGACGGATCCGCGACAGAACGTTCGAATTATTCAAAGTACAATAACGAATGCCGCACGTGTTATTGAGCGAGATAAATAAGCTGTCGATGCTACGCGCTTTGGAAAGCGGACGATATCTGAGCATTTTCACTTGTGGGATCTGTACGAGTTTCTTGAGAGCATAACCAAACATTCGTGGACTATCAAGACGGCTACTCAGCTCGAGAAGTCGCGCTACGTCATTTTCGCTATGCAAACAGGTCAAAAAAACGTCATGTCTGACGTGAAGATATACCAGGTATGTAAATATGAATCCGGAATTTACCAATAGATGGCCATAGCTGTCAATGTAGTTGTCATCAGACGGCATCATTGACGCCATTTCCTTGTTCTGACATCTGACAAAGATTTTCAATTCACAACAATACAAGTTTCATACAACAGTATAGTTTGTAATAGCGTTGAACATGTCGAATTTTGTACCTAGAAACTACGATTTGCGGACAGCATTGATTCTCTGTTACCATTTGAAGAAAACTGCTGCAGAATCGCATCGAATGCTTGTCGAAGCTTACGATGAGCATGCTCTTGGTAAATCACAGTGCTTTGAGTGATTTAAAAAATTCAAAAGTGGCGATTTTGACGTGAGAAACGAAAAACCACCGAAAAAGTTTGAAGACAGCGAATTGCAAGCATTGTTGGATGAGGATGACGCTCAAACTCAACAACAACTCGCGGATCAATTAAATGTAACACGAGAAGCCGTTTCCATACGTTTGAAATCCATAGGAAAGATCCAGAAGATGGGAAAATGAATTCCACATAAACTGAATGAAAGACAGCAGGAAAACCGAAAAACCACTTGCGAAATGCTGCTCGCCAGGTACAAAAGAAAGTCATTTCTCTATCGAATTGTGACTGACGATGAAAAGTAGATATATTTTGA